CCTCGGTAACATCCCCCCCGACACTTCCGCTGAGGAGATTCTGGGTCACGTTCGTAGCGGACAAATCGAGTCCGTCCGTCTTCTGCCCGATAAGAACTGTGCCTTCATCTCCTTCCTCGACGCCAGCTCCGCAACCCACTTCCACTCTGATGCCATCTTGAAAAAGCTCTGCATCAAGGGCCAGGACATCAAGGTCGGCTGGGGCAAGCCTTCGCAGGTACCCACCTCTGTGGCTCTGGCTGTCCAGCAGTCAGGTGCTTCCCGTAACGTGTACTTGGGTAACCTGCCGGAGGATATTGCCGAGGAGGAGCTTCGTGAGGACCTTGGGAAGTTCGGTGCCATTGACACGGTCAAGATTGTTCGTGAGAAGAGCATTGCCTTCATCCACTTTCTGTCCATTGCCAATGCAATCAAGGCTGTTTCTCAACTTCCTCAAGAGCCAAAGTGGCAGGCTCCTCGTCGCGTTTACTACGGCAAGGACCGTTGCGCCTACGTTTCGAAGACGCAGCAGCAGAACGCTGCTCAATACCTGGGTATCGCGCCTGGCTATGCGCACATGCTTACTGGTGCAGACCGCGACGTGATCTCCAATGCGCTGGCTCAGCAATCTGTTGCAGCAGCTGCTGTTGCGACGACCGCCGGTGGTATTAACAACCTCGGAAACCGCACCATCTATCTGGGCAACATCCACCCCGAGACGACCATTGAGGAGATTTGCAACGTTGTGCGCGGAGGTCTTCTCCACCACATCCGTTACATCCCTGACAAGCACATCTGCTTCGTTACCTTCATCGACCCCACGGCCGCGGCGTCTTTCTACGCTCTGAGCAACCTTCAGGGCTTGATGATCCACAATCGCAGGCTCAAGATTGGCTGGGGCAAGCACTCTGGTGCTTTGCCGCCGGCCATCGCCCTTGCTGTCAGCGGAGGAGCTTCTCGCAATGTCTACATTGGTAACCTTGATGAGACCTGGACTGAAGAGCGACTGAGACAGGACTTCTCGGAATTCGGCGAGATTGAGCTGGTCAACACCCTGAGAGAGAAGAGCTGCGCCTTTGTCAACTTCACCAACATTGCCAACGCTATCAAGGCTATCGAGGCCATCCGCAGCAAGGACGAGTACAAGAAGTTCAAGGTCAACTTCGGCAAGGATCGTTGCGGAAACGCACCCCGTCAGCTTCAACAACAGGCGCAGTCTCCTCGTACCGATGGTGTTTCGTCACCTCCGCCCAATGGTTCCCAGAACTCTGGTTCTCCCACCAACGGCAACACCCCCCAACAGTCAGCCACGATGTTCGGCTCAAACAACCATCCCCTTACGATGTACCTGAACCACGTCTCTCAGCAAGCGCAACATCAACAGCATCAGCAGCACCAGCAACTTGCTGTTCAGCAACAGGCCTTGTTCGGCACTGCCCAGTCATCACCTAGCGAGCTCTCCATCGATGTGCAATCCCAGGGTCCCATCTCTGGGCACCAACAGTCGGCCAGCATCTCGAACGGATACCCTCAGAGTGCATCGGGTTCCGGACCGACTACCATTGGTGGTCTTCTGGCCCCTGGCAACGGTCGCGGCCAACACAACCGTGCCGTCAGCTTGCCCGCCCTGAACCCCGGTTTCGAGAACGGCGGCGTCCCTTCGGGCCACGACGGCGAGCAACGCCGTGGACACCAGTACCAGGCTAGCTTCGGCGGCATGGGCGCTGGCTACGGTCTTGCCATTCAAGGTGGCCTGAACGGCTGGGTCGAAGAGGAGGTTGCCAACTAGAGGTACCCAACCTATCTCATAGCGTCCTTCTCGGCGCTCTTCTCACCCCCTGCACATGATGCAAAAGGAACATAGCGTAAAGATTGGTTAATTGTTGTAATTGCATCTCACGTCTTCTCACTTCATCCTTGATTCTTGATTCTATTTTCATTTTTTTGTCTCTTCTCATCTATAATTTCATCGCCGGTTTGGCAAAGTGGTCAGGGGCTGTTTTCTCGATCCCAGAGCTCGGGGGAGACTAACCACACAAAATTTTGGCACCACCTCTTTCATGCATATGATTGTGGTCGAACATAGCAGCAGATACCAGATTATGATCTGCCTGGAACATGGCAGTCACGATCTGTCGCCAACGTGGAATGGAAATGAGAGGGGGCTGGCTCAGGTCTGGGGAGGGAGACATAGGATACAGCAGAAGGAGGCGATGCTGGCTACATGGGCCAGCATCAATCACTTGTATGTCTATTAGAGCGCACTTCAGGAAAAGCATGGTTTCCCTGGATAAATGCAAGCGAATCTTTGTTTGCAAACTTTGTTCCCTCTAACGTGAACCGTGTACGGAGCATGTGGACTATGCAAAGGTGAGTCGATCGATGAGTAGTTGCCCCGCACCTTTCCTCAGCAAGGAGACATTCCGCCCGCAGCGATACTTTCCTCCAAGGAAGAATTCCAATATTTCGTCCTGATGCCTTTTCTGGTTTTTGCAAAGAGGGAAACGATTAAAGGTGTAAAAGGCTGGGTTCAATACAGTTTTCTTGATATCTTTTGAGCGCTAGTAGCTAAGCACCTCTTCCATTTTCGCCCTTTGTAGTATATACAGTATTCATCAAGTTTAAAACGCAACAAACTTTTTGGTGACCCCCTTGTTTTTGTCTATCAGGCTTTTTTTTTGTCGTGGCTCACCGTTTCCGTGGCCGGGTATCTAATACTGTCATCAAAATCATGTTGCAAATTTGCCGGCTTTCGTCTCATCTTTCCTTTTAGTTATTTCTTTTTTTTTTCTTTTCACAACCCCTCCATCTTTTTTGCTCCCCCTCTTTTTTTTGTTTTTTTTTTTTTTTTTTTTTTTTGTCCCCCCTTTTTTGGGCCGGGTTTTTATTTCTTTTTTCAAATTTATTTTTTAAATTTCCCCCCTTTCCCCCCCTTTTTTCTTCTTTTGTGTGTTTCCCCCCCCCCCCCCCCCCCCCCCCCCCCCAATCAGACGATATTTCCCAACGCAGGATCGACAAACTGGGAAAAGTCCTCGTCGATGAGCGCGCGCATGGCTGCTTCTTCCTCCTGCCACGTCTGCGGCGGCGTGCCAAAGTCGTCGGCGGCACCGATCCAGAAGTCGTCGTTCGGGTTGGCTGGGTCACCGCCGACAAAGTCTGTGACGCCGGGGATGATGCCGTATAGGGGTAGTTCCGGCATCTCGCGGTCGCCGTCAAAGGGGGCGAGGTCGGCTTCGCCGTTGGGGTTGCCTGCCGCGAAGCTGGCGAGGGCAGCGTCGATGTCCATCTGCGGGTCGCCGTCGCCGGCGCCGGCCACCACTGGTGGAGGGTGGTCCTCGAGATGAACTTGTAGGTCGTGGTGGCGGATGAAGCGGGCGCCGCAGCCGGGTATTGTGCAGAGGATCGTGCGCTTGGTGCCGGCGAGATCGTCAATGATGTTGGGTGGCTTCTGGTTCGGCACCGGACGCTCCATGCCCAGATGGACGTAGCGGATATGGTCCTCGAGGTTGGCCTTGGTGACGAAGCCTCCGCCGCAGCCCTGGTCGTTGGACCAGGTTTCCAGATCAGGGGAGCCCGCGACGTCGACCTCGCCACAGACGAAGCGGAAACCTTCGTGCGCGGTGCGGATGTGGACGGTGAGATTGTGCTTCTTGGTGAACTTTTTGTCGCAGCCCTCCCACGTGCAGGCGACCGTCTTGCGGGCGTCGACGGGGATGCCCGAGTGGCGCATCTCCACGTGCCTCTCCAGCTCCCACTGCCCGGTGCACTTGTACTCGCAGAAGATGCAGTTGAGATGCTCCTTGCGGATGTGTGCCTGGAGCAGCGAGATGGACGTGAAGCCGACCTTGGTCTCGCCGTCGCCGCCGCCGCACTCTTCGCACCAGAACTGCGGTTCGCTGTGGTCGCGCTTGGTATGGTTCCGCAAAGCCCCCTGGGAGTCGAAGCCGGCGCCACAGCCGGGTGCCGTGCATGGGTATGCGTGCGTGCCCAGGTGTTCCGACCGGATGTGTCGCTGGAGGGTGTTGTGCTTGCGGAAGCTCTGGGCGCACGGCGGGAAGTCGCGGCACCGGAAGCGCTCCTGGCCGGCGTGGACGTCCTGGTGACGGCGCAGTCTCGTCGCCGTCAGGAAGGACTTGCCGCAGTCTTCGTGGGAGCAGACGTAGGCCCGCTCCTGGGTGTGGGAGCCCTTGACGTGCTGGCGGAGGTGCTTCTCCTCGCGGTAGTCTTTGTCGCAGCCGGGGTAGGTGCACTTGAACGGTCGGTCGTCCGTGTGGGAACGGAGGTGGGCGGCCAGACGGGCGGGCCGGTTGAACGTCTTGTCGCAGTCTGGATATGTGCACGGGATGGTCTTGAGGTCTGAGGGGAATTTGCGGGATCGAGTGGTGACCGAGGTCTGGCCTGTCATGACAGACTCTACCTCGGCGTCGGCGGTCGAGCCGGAATTGCTGGCTGTATCATCGTAGTCGTCGTCGCTGGCAGCTTTCCCTCCCATCGTGTTAGCCAAATCGCACCAAGTTGTAGTTCGAAAGCGGGCTCACCAACCGGTGTCTTCCAGCGCCGCTACGTTGGATCTTTTCAGATCCGGGGAGGCGGAAGCCTCTTGGGCCTTCCGTTTCGTCATGAGGAGCGATTGTGATCGAGCATTGCCTGCCTTGCCTGGGCGATGAGAAAAAAGAGGTCGATTGCCAAACTTTTCGAGAGCCGATGAACTTATTTCCTGGCAGAATTGGCGGATTCCCGGGCGGTCTGGCGAAATTTTGTGCGCTGCACCAGCCACGGGACGAGGGGCCGGGGTCGACTCGGTCCGGATAAGCTATTTCCTCTTGCTGATAAGACTAGTGCGGACCCACCAGGGGGAACTCTGTCCATCGCAGCAGCCTCGTCAATATTTTTTCACGGCTGGGTCCAGCAGACGCTCCGCTTGCGACAATCCAACATCACGCGACGAACGTAGGAACCAGGACGCAGCAACGAACCACACCATTGCGGAAGTCATCCATCCCATCAATTGAAACCTCAAGATGTCTGACTTTGGCGATGACGATGTTGGCGGAGGGTAAGATTACATGCACTTGCGTCTGCGGCGCGACTGCTAACCGCGATTCAGCGACGAGACCATGTACGAGGACGAGGCCGCCGACTACTGGGATCCCGAGGTTCCTGCGGACGATGAGGAAGTCGGAAGGGCAGAGGGCGACGAGGAGGACGCGGACAATGTCGTTGCATCGGGCGACCCCTCTGCGGCAGCGAACGCGGGCAAGGGAAACGAGAAGTCGCACCGCGACAAGAAGATTCCCGATGACCAGCGTACGACGACCCCCTACATGACAAAGTACGAGCGCGCCCGTATTCTGGGAACCCGCGCCCTGCAGATCAGGTTCGTCAAACCGCAATCCCACCTAAAGCAAATACCCCGCGATAAAGTCGCGATGCACGCGGACAGAAACAAGCTAATGCGTGGGATTAGTATGAATGCGCCGGTGCTGGTGGACTTGGAAGGAGAGACGGATCCTCTTCAAATCGCGATCAAGGAGCTCCGAGAGAAGAAGATCCCTCTCATTGTGCGCCGCTACATGCCCGACGGATAGTAAGTGCCGGACGACAAACCCCTCCCCCGGACTGTCCACGCAAGCTTCGTGGCCATTCTGCACCGTTATCTTGAGCCATGCCCGGCTAACCTTGCGCGCCAATAGCTACGAGGATTGGACCTGCGAGGAGCTTCTCCAGTGAGGGGACTACTGACTTTTTTTTCTCTCCAAACTTTTCGGGGGACAAAGAGAGACGCGCGACTAGATGCAAGGCACCTTATACCCATCTCCTATCGTCGTTGCCTCAAGAGTAGTCAAATGTCCGAGCAGAGAGTTTCCTACCATGGATCTCATTACCAGCTCGCTTCGCCGTTGAGCCAGACGCTCGGAGGCAAGCTTGAGAAGAGACGTTCCATCCAAAAACCGTTATAAAAAGAAGACACACCACAGGGGTTAGTGTGCTGTACTTTGATTTTGCATTGAGCGTGGCGTTTTCTAGGAAAAAATTGGAATTTTCAAACATCAAAGAACCATCTCAATTGTGAGAAGAAAATCTCGAATCCCAGTTCTCGTACTCTCGTCACTTTCTTCTTGTTTCTATTCGCTTTTCCGGGCTCAAAATAGCGGACTGAAGTGATTCATCACAGGATTACGTGGTCCTGCTCAGATCCTCGCTTCGAGTGGCAGCCTGCAGTGTAACCAGTGGGAGAGTGGGAGATGAGCCGGTATGCACCTTCCCAACACTGAGAAGCGTCCCTGCCAACCCCCCGCCGAAATTAAGCGAGGTGTCCGGCTTGGAGAGTCAGCGAACCGATCGTCGCTTCCTTCCCGGCCGCGAGCCTCCCGCCTTCCGGAGCGCGACGGGCCACGGACCTCGGCGCCGTCGAGCCGTGGAGCTGTCCCCTTATCGATGAGGATCGGCAACGTCAACGTAAACAACAACGTTTTCCTTCTTCTCTCTGAGCTTACACAGCCCCGTTCACCCCAGGTCCCACCTTTCGTCCGATATCTCACAACTTAACCTAGGTACAAGGTTGTTTCTGTTTCCCTTACCTCCCCACCGCCCCCATGTACCTCCTTCCTTCTTTCAACTAAGGCTTGCCGGGGTGGCACGAAGAAGCTTATGGGCGACGACTTGGCCTGCACCTGAGGCTGAGGCTGGTGGGCAAGCTAGAGAAGAGAAGACCGAGAGGGAAAAGCTTAGCCAAGACCATGCCTAAACGACGTATTGGATCTTGTCTTCATTGGCCCAGATGCTCGTCAAAGGGTAATTGACGCCGAATAGCTTACCTTCTGATCCAAGCTTCTGGCAATCGTGGTTCGATCCGCCCAAATATGTCTACTAGACTAGTTCACACTCTATTGCTTCCAACGAATACACACTCAGCCTTTCAATCGCCTCTTTCTTGGCATGAAGGATATCTGGATAACGCAACGGATCGAGCCGGCCGCAACTACCAAGACGACCAGCATCATCCATTTTCCCACACTTTGATTGTGAACAGAGAGCGAAAACGAAGGAGGGGGACAAGGACCGACGACGCTTGCTAACACGGCGGTCTTCTCTCCTTTGCAGCCTTCCATTCCCTTCTACATATCCCACATCACTTTCCCATCGCCTTGGCTCGGACCTCCTCCGCCGCGCTCGGCCGACCACGTCTTCAATGTCCACCGTCCACGAAGCATGCGGGTTATCGTCTCTGCTTCACAGCCTTCACTCCTACTCTGGCCCCCTCTCTTCCCCGCCTGGCCTCTCGAATCACGCCGTCCATCACGGAAAGCAAGCTGGATCTCTTCTCCCGTCACCCGGAAGACCAGAACCACCACCATCCCGTCCACACCACACCTCAGCTCCCGAACGCGAGACCGCGGCTGTCCGGCTTGGCCCTCACCCAACCGGCAGGCTTCTCACATACTTCTCTTGGCTCCGCTTCACTTCCAACACTACGCCGTGCTTCTCAAGTACAACTCTTGGCGCTTTCCCGCCCTTGCCCTCCTTTTCCCACAAACCTGTACACGTATACTCACAGCCATGAAAGCGTCGTCATGTCTGTCTATTTTGCTCACCTTCCCCCCCTTGTACGTCGTGATCCCTGTGGGTCTGTATCCCGACTAGCCGGGTAGCTTTGCAGCTGCTTGTGCTTGTCACCTTCTCTGGAAGAGGAGGAAGACGAAGGGTGGCAGAGGGGCAAAATGAAGCTTCGAACACGTTGATCATCGCCGAGCCCATGGCACGACATGTTCACCCTTTCTCTTGGCAAAATATTGTGGACTTCCAATTTAGTATAAAGAGTAGAGTCAGTGACCGCCCTTTCGACGAGAGGAAGATGGCTGGACAAGCAAGACATTCCAATCCTCAGCCTGGCTTCCCCCTCCCCATACCTCTTTCGGTATATTCCATTAGCAGCAGAGAGCCTTTCCAAGCCGGCACATGCTCGCTTCTTTTCTATAAGGCCCTTTTCCGCCTAGGTCCACAAGTCCTTTCTCAGACTTACAATGCTCCCTCAAGCATCTGTTCTCGCGGCCGTCTTGCCGGCGCTGACGCTGCTGCTCCCAGGCGGCGTCTATGGCCTCGCGGTGGCGTCCAGAGCGACGAACTATACCCAACAAGCCATCGACTCTGGCGCTGTGCTGTCTGATCTCAACAAACAGGCCTACAGCAACGTTCTTGCTCGTCTCGGGAACGCGACTGCGGCCGGTCAGAACGGGACCGCGCAGTGCACAAAAGACAATGTCAGAGTCCGTCGCGAGTGGTGAGTCTTTTGATTCCGGTCTTTTAAGTCTAATTTGTTCCTAGCCCAGTCATGGGGAAAGGGGGAAGAGGATAGGGCAGACAATTTAATAGGGGAAGTAACTTGTGGACTGACATCGACTGTGCTTTTCTTTACAGGAGAAACATGCCGGATGAAGAGCGCATTAGGTACACCGATGCCGTGACCTGCCTCCAGCAGCAGCCGGAGTTATTCACCGAGATTGCCGGGTCCAAGTCCATGTTTGATGACTTTGTGGCCCTGCACCAGGCAGCGACGCTTTACGTCCACCTGTCGGTAGGTTATCGACCCAGACGAAGCAGTTTCTTGTATGTGTAGGAGAACCTCCCGCTAATCGGAGTACTCATCTCAGGCAACGTTCTTCCTCTGGCATCGCTACTACATCTGGACATATGAGAACAAGCTGGAATCAGAGTGCGGCTACAACGGTACGCTTATCACTCCTTATACACATACTCTAACATGAAAGCAAGATGAGCAAGACTAACACCACGCCAGGATCTTTCCCCTACTGGGAATGGGGTTTCGACACGGCCAACCTTTCCGCGAGCCCCGTCTTCGACGGCTCCGCGACCTCGATGGGCAGCGACGGCGTCCCGACCCCTCACCAAGGGCTCGTCCTCGTCAACGCGTGGGATAACACCACAACAGTACTCCCCGCCGGCACAGGCGGCGGCTGCCTGGCTTCGTCCTCGGCCCCATTTGCCAACCAGACGGTCCACCTCGGCCCGCAGGCCATGCCGGACTACGGCAACGTCACCTCCTACAACTCGGCCACGCCCACCGACGACAACCCGCGATGCCTGCGCCGCGATCTCAACGTCTACCCGCTCCAGCGCTGGGCCAGCCTCCGCAACACGACGGACCTGATCCGTGACGCCGCTGACATTGAGAGGTTTCAGGCCATCGCACAGGGGGACTCGCGGTACGTCGGAACGGGCCAGCTAGGCGTCCACGGAGGCGGGCACTATGCGCTAGGAGGGGACCCTTCGAGCGACGTCTACCTCAGCCCCGGTGATCCCGTGTTCTACCTTCATCACGCTCAGATGGACCGTCTCTACTGGATCTGGCAGAACTTGGACTGGCAGAATCGTCAGGTCAGTTGTCAACTCGCACAGTCTTTGCTTTCACTTACTTGCCTTCCGCTCATCTTCTTTTCCTTACCTTGTGATGATCAATGAACGAGGCACTAACTTCCGCCATAGACAATTTTCGGTACGAACACCACCATGAACCAGCCGGCTAGCGCCAATGTGACACTCGACGACTTGATGTACATGGGACCTCTGGGCGCCGAACTGTCCCTTCGCGATGCCATGGATACCGTGAATGGCCCATTCTGCTACGTATACGCGTCGGACTGAGGAGACCGCTGTATGTCAGGTGAGCTTCGGAGGGGCTTGAGTTGGTCTGTATTGGCAAGTTGCGATACAGCATTCTCATTTTCTCATAATAGCGGTGCATGTGTGTAAGATAGACCAAGATAATAGAGAAGAACTGCTGATCATCGATTTCTTGCACCGAGCGAGTGACAAGTGATGTTTGCCAAATTGCAGCAGCCGCGATGTGCGGCTTGATGGGACGCATGGGAAGGAACGGAGTCTCGGACTGTTATAGTAGTTGCAACCACTGCTTGTATCTGAAGTACTTGCATTCATGAATAAACAGTTCCTGAAGCACCTACCTACTCTTATGCTACCGGTGCATTTCTCTTCAGACTTATCCGCAGACTTCAGTACCGATATCCATTCATTCCCACGATAGGGACTATTCATGCCCGTCCCAGATCAGGACATCCTCCACGAGATATGGCATCAACGGCGCCTACCCCGTTCACCTGTACCTTCTGCTTCCAGCCCTCCGACGGCCCTTCACACGTCATCGGCCGGGAAGCCCGCCTAAGCTGCTCGCACTGCTACGGCGCGTTGATCGATCTGGCCATCTGCTGGGTTTGCGGCGAGATCGTCTACCGGGGAGACGACTGCGTCAGCTTGGGGTAGTGCTTCTGGCATCGCGCGTGTTATGGGTGTATGTTCTACGGGAGCAAGCTCATCTACCGAGGGGTGCCTGTGCTGGACCTCTTTGACGATGGCCTCGATGCCGTTGTTGATGGGAGGAGCATGGCTGGCAGGATTGCTGGAACGGAAGGCAAGGGGAACATGAAAGAGGTGGAGGCGGTGCCGCTTTGTGCTGCGTGTTGTGTTGGTACGGAGGGGGAGGACGTGATGCAGAAGGGGTTGAGGAGGGTTGAAAGGGTTGATGGTGGACTCGGCCGCGCGAGATGGGGTGCTGGTGAGACCAGAGCCGGGCAGTTGAGGAGGGCTCCGGCGGTAAGTTATCTGAGTGTGATGAGGGAGTCGATGCTGACTTCACCCTAGTCTATCCGATCTCTCAGCCCAGACTCGTCATCATTCCGCAGAATAGGAGACGGATCCCACGACGAGAGCAGAGGGTATCTGGCAACACCACCCGGAAACTCTACGATATACGTCTCCATCAACGATCCCATCGGCCAACCTGCCTTCAAGCCAAGTCCAACGAAGCCTATACCGATATGGATGCAGCCATTTCGGGGCCTTGAGCAAGTGGCCAGTGAAGAGCAGAAAGAAATCTATGTGTCTCATCCACTCTCTGGCCTCTCGCAGACTCCAGCGACGTCAATCTCCGGGACCCCCTCAATAGGGTCATCGAATTCACTTACACCGACCATCAGACCAATTACACCGGCCCGCTCCACATCGCCGCCGCAAACACCGCCGAGATCTCGTTCGATCTGGACGCCGTCTGAAATTCGACGAGCACCGCCTCTCTCGTGGGTCAGCAACGAGCCCCTCAAGCGGCCGTCCTCTCGATTTGCGTCCCGTCTCGAGAAGTCGGACACGACGACGTCGTCGGGTTATGTCACTCCGCCAGAGACGCCCTCCGAGCAGCAGACGCGGTACAACACCCCACCGCCGCCGCCGCAGCCGCAGCTACGGCGAGTGCGGCCGCAGAGTCCACTGGTCCCTGCTCGTGTCCCACGGCGTCACGCCGTGCGTCGAACGCCTCCGCCTCAGTCGTCCGAGTACCTAGAGCGGTACAACCCCATCCGGTCCCCGTCGCCGCGACCACGGATCACACGACCAGTCATGCCAGCGTTCAGTCCACCCAGTCGTGCCAGAGCCAGCTTGGTGGTGTCGAGGCATGCGACTAAGGATGATGGTAATGGCCCGACTCCAGATCCGAACCAGACCACGGAGAGGCTTCTCTCGGATGGGGCCGACTCGCCCGGCGAAGCGGGGAAGAAGAGGAATTTGCAGGCTTTACGAAAGCTGTTCAGCGGAAAGTGAAGAAAGTGGCGGGGCAAGCATGCCACACCCCAGAGATGGATTGGCACTTGAGCAAGTATCCTTTACCGCTAGTGATAGTGTGGAATGCGGGAAACATTCGAGAATAGAATATATCTTCAGCAATGGATGCCTCAATGCTAATCTCACAACTTTGTGGGCTCTTGCCGGAGCCTCGACAGCATGGCTGAATCGAGAAGCATAACTAATCCATCTGGCTGTAACATCATCCCTCTGATATTCATGTAGAGGGGTTATAAGACTGGAAAGCCTCTTCACAAATAAAGACCGGGGTCGCGACATAACGGCTTTGGTCGCGCCAGGGACCCCGTCTGCAGTCGCACTTGTCATCCCTGCAAGCGCCCCCACACTCACCCACAAGGTGTGTGCCACCGGCCCATCCCGCCGACTGGCTAGCACCAATTCCATCCATCCATCCATCAATCAATCCAGACACAACCTCGACCTTGATTACTTTCCACTGCATCCCGCTAATTTCTCAGCCTCGTCCCTCACAGCGCAACCTCACATTCACCCACCACAACTTCCATCAACCGTTTCTCGACCGAGGCGCTTCTCCCATCCGCGTCGCATTGCCACCCTCTACCTAAAGCCAACAACTACACATACGACAATACGCAGCGAGATACCGCGGGGACCCGTACCCAAAATGGCGCCGATAGACAAACCAACCCCCGAAGAGCTGGAACGTACGTATAACCCTCACCCACGTTGCGCCACCAAGCATGTCACTAACACACATCCCAAAAAACAGAGCAACTAAAAGACACAATTCAAGACCTCTACCAAATCCTAGTCCAAGTAACAACCTACAACGCGACCCCTTCCGCGCCCACCGCGCCCGCCCTCGCAGACTCGGTCCAAGCCCTCTCGCACTCCCTCCAGCGCGTCCACATGACCGCGACGGCAGGCGCCCCGCCCTCCCCCGACCTCCCCGGCGCGCTGCCGAAGATCCCGCCCGAGCTGGTGCAGTACGTCGAGAACGGGCGGAACCCGGACATCTACACGCGCGAGTTTGTGGAGCTTGTGAGGCGCGGGAATCAGCTCATGAAGGGCAAGATGAGTGCGTTTGCGCAGTTTCGGGATGTCCTTGCGGATCATGTCGAGAGGGGCATGCCGGAGTTGAGGGAGGATGTCGGGCGGGTGCTGGAGGGGGGCAAGGTTGTTGGGAGCGGGAAGCCTGGTGGTGCGCTATGAGGTGCGCTGTTTTTCGGGGGTGTTTGGTTTACGAGCTTCGGGGGAGGCCTTGAGAGGATCAGGACATGCGGTCTTCGGGGAATCCGGGCAGACGAAATGAGCGCAAGCTGGAGACGACCAAGCGCCAGGGTTGGATACCCAGTGGTGAAGGTGCATGGAGAGAGTTTGATACCCAGAGACAGACAGAGTCGTGTGAATAGCACGTTACGCACCATAATGGAATATACGGACTAATTAGCAACGAAATTAAGCTTGTGCTAGCAAGTCTTTTCCACACGACGTTTGCAGAGTCAATTACCAGCTGGTCAACTATACCTAACCTCGCGCGCAAGAAGAAAACACACGACAAGATTTTGTAGGGGCATCATCACTCATATGCCCCTTTCAATGAGATATGCAAGACGCCTTCCAACCCATCCTTTCCCCAGGTTCGGTCATGAAATTCGGATTGGTTTCTGAGGGATATTGTTTGGTCGTGAACTCTTCTTCTCTCTTCTCTGTTCCTCTTCCCTCTCTGTCCCTGGTATGTCTCTACAAAAAGGGTTGTAGAGGTGTGAAAAGGAAAACAAAAAAAAAAAGAGGTAAAGAGAAACGTAAAAAGGGACGGTTTGGATCGATCGATGCCTGGGTAAAAAACGCCGCCCGTGACACTTTTCTGTGCGTTTGTAGTCTATCCGGATCTGCAGTCGAAAAAAAAAGACAACACAAAACTCATTTCCCGCCGCGGAGCCGTATGCTCAGCTTCCGGGCCCCTATGATGCAAATGTACACGAATCCCACCGCTGCCGCTACCAGCAACAGGAGCTGGAACGGGACAAGGACCAGGGCGGCCACGATCCAGATTCCATACTGGCGAAACTTGTCCACAATCCGGTCGCCTTCTTCTTGGCGCCGCTTCGTGTGGCTCTTCATCGGCTTTGCAGCGAATGAGCCGCCCGTATTTCGTCCCGACTCTGCTGACTCGTCGGATGTTTCTGCTTCTTCCTCCGACTCGGATTGTCAGGTCGAGAAGTTGAAACCGCGTCCGCCGAAGCCGCCGGCACCGCCACCTCCACGAGGGCGGCCACCACCGTCGGCAAAGTTGAAGTGCGCACCACCACCACCTCCGCCGGGGAAGCCGCCTCCATTGAAGCCGCCACCGCCGCCGAAGCCGCCGCCACCACCCATCATGTTGAAGAGGATCTCGGGGTCGATGCCGCCGTGCATACCGCCCATACCTCCCATGCCGCCCATGCCACCACCGTGGCTGAACATGTCAGACGGGTCCATAAGGTCCTCGCCGCTGTCGTAGCTGGCACGCTTCCTGCAAACGGGATTAGCAAATAGTGGATAACGTACACACGTATCAACTTACTGAGAGTCACTCAGGGTCTCATAGGCTTCTCCAATATCCTTGAAGCGCTCAGCAGCCTGTTCGTCGTTGGGGTTCTTGTCCGGGTGGTGAATGATGGCTAGCTTGCGATAGGCCTTCTTGATCTGGTTATCATCCGCGTCCTTCTCAACCCCGAGGATCTTGTAGTAGTCCTTGCGCTGGCTCTTCTTCAGCTCCAGCTCAGCCCGGCGCACCTCCTTGGCGATGCTACGGTCCTCAGGATCCAACTCCTGGATGTTCTTCCACTCCTTCACAGCATCCTCCCACTTGCCTGCCTGGCCATATGCGTTGGCCTTGGTCTTGCGAGCCTTGAGGTATGTTGAGTCCAAGCTGATGGCGCGCTCGCAGTCAGCAATGGCTGCGTCGTACTCCTTGAGCTTGATCTTGCACAGCGCTCTGTTCTGCAGAATCTTGGAGTTGGTGCCACGGTTGGCGGGATCAACCTCGAGCGCAGCGCTGTACTTCTCAATGGCGGACTGCCAGCGACCCATCTTGTAGTCCTGATTACCCTCCTCCTTCATGCGGTCGAGCTTCTGCACGATTCTGAGGTACTTAACCGCATCCCGCATGTCGGGGTCGCAGCTGATGGCCTTACGGAAGTGGCTGACAGCCTTGTCGTTCTCACCCTGGGCGTAGAGGGCACGACCGCGGAGCACCAGGGCCTCAGGGTCCTGGCTGTTGCCTCTCAACAGGCCCATGGCAAGATTCTGCGCCTCGCCGAGGGCGTTGACGGTACCCATCTTGAGGTACGCCTCACCACGCATCAGCTGCCACTTGCGGGGTCTGGAGGCTCCGAAGCCAAGCTGACGCTCGGCCTGGTCGAGGGCGTGGAGCACCATTGATCCAGCAGTGCCGTCTCTCAAGGCACTCTGCGCAGCGTTGACGTGCTTCAGCATCTCCTTGGCCGGAGCCTGGTCCTTGGCTGAAGGAGGGGGGTTAATGCGACCGAAGACGAGCAGGGCCTCTTGGGGCTGTCCCAAGCTGGTGTAGATGCGAGCAAGTCGGAGGAGGATCTTGGGGTTCTCGGGGTCCAAGTCGGAGGCACGGGTGCAGTCATCGAGGGCGTACTCGTACTGGGTGTTGGACATGTATGCAGCAGCGCGGTTGCTCAGATAGGTAGCCGAATCGGGGACCAACTCGATGGCTGGAGCAGACTTGTCAATTTGTAGCCTAGACAGATTCGCAATCGGCAACACTTACCTTTGGAGTATTGAAGAATGGCATTCTTGTAGTCCTTCTCCTTGAAGAACTTGTTGCCAGCAGCCTTGTAGGCCTCGGCCTCGTCCTCAGTCGTGGGGACTGGACTGGAGGGGTTGGACTTGTGAGGGGGAGGGGCTGGAGCATCGCCATTGCCGTTAATATTGGTGTTGATGCCGTTTGGCTTGGGCACAGAGAAGGAAGTCTGCGCAGAGGGTTGGGGTGCAGCAGCAGCGGGAGCGGCAGCAGCAGGAGGCGAAGAAGGCGCCGCGCTCGACTCACGGTCGATATCCATGGCGTTTCCACTCATGGCTGAGAGTGCAGAAAGTCTCTTTGCACGTTCTTCAGGAGGAAGATTGAGGGGGTGAGAATCGAGGTCGATTTTGCTGCTCCTTCGTGAGCCGGGATCGGTGGGGTGGCGGCCAAAGGTGCGGGAAGTGCGCGACGGCTTTGTCTCCCGAGGGCCTGGGGATGCAGGTTGGGAGGTTTTTTTGGTGGGGGATTTTGTCGGCGACTTGATGGGCGACCGGGGCTTTGTGGGCGACTTTGTGGGAGAAGAAGCTTCAGAGGAGGGGAAGTAGCTCGATTCTTGGTGGTTGTCGTCGTCGTCCTGACCTTGCTTCTTGGACGATTTCTTTGCGAAGAGCTTCATTGATAAAGCAGGCGACCCTCTGAGGGGAACCAAAGAATGCGCAGGCTTATTTTTTTGTTGGTTAATTAGGTAAGGAGGGTCGGTACACCTCGATGCAAGGTTATGCTTGTGCACCAGATTCCCCAAACCACAATAACGGGCCTAGTGAAGGAGGGCGGGCAGGCAAGAGTGTGGAAAAAAGCACCTGCTATTTTTTTTTCTTCTGGGCTGCTTGAGTGCGTCCAGTGGAAGGCAGCGGAACCTTGCCTTGACTCGGATGGATGAGTACGGGAGAGGGCGGCTTGTGCGGAAGTTGATTGCAGATGGTCGTCCCAGTATGTTCGTTCGTATCGAAGAATCCCGACGAATACAACGATGATGAGGCAGTGTGGTGTGAGTGAGCGAGATAGTTGAAGTGTGAGTGAGAGTAAGGTAGGAGAGGAGAAGAAGAAGACGGATTGGCTGCTCCCGGAAGGCAAGGTTAGGTGAGGGCGGATGAAGAGGGAAAAGAGGAAGGAAGCCCAGGCTATTGAGAAGAGGCTCGGCGAGAAGACACACAGCCCATCGGAGTGGGCACTGGAGGGGAGATACAGCCGGCGCAAGCTGCAGGGTGCTTTTCCAGTGAGGAAGCAGAGCAAAAAAAAAGTATCCGTTACTTTTGGGCAAAGCCGATGGATAGAGGAGGGGGAGGGGGGCGGGATCTGTGGAGAGAGAGAGCGAGAGAGAGGAAAAGATTCGAGAGAAAGAGGCAAGTAACGATGCAAGCAAAGCAGGAAGAAGAAGCTTTAGGAGCGGGATGCACAAAGTTGCTTTTCTGTTGTCATCTTTCGGTAATCCAAGGCAGGGGGACAAGAAAGGCCAAAGGTGAAATACCGAAAATCCCAGGATTCATCAAGCGAGACGAGCCTTAGCTGTGGCTGTCTCTCCCACCTCCAGGGGGAGGGACTCGTGTAGATTTATCAGCTGTGCACAATTTTTTTTCTCCCACTCTTCCATCCTCATCTTGTTGCTTTTTCCCGTCTGCCAGGCCTGTTGACTGGTTTGCCTATTCGTCCGCTGTCCAGTGCCTTATGGATTACGGGGGAGACGGAGACTGGACAAGGTCACCACCGTATGCCCATGTGCTGGGCTGGCTATGCGTGATGTGGAAAATGTGCTAGCTGGGTAGCTGTCCATACACAGCTTGCCATGCAAAAAGATGTACATTGTACGGATTATGGTACGAAACTTACGCCCACAGCCTACCCGGCAGGCACAGGAGATATCCTCCCCCCCCTGGACCAGCGCAGAAGCAGGACCGCTGCGACCGCAGAGAAACACAAACGTGGATGTACAATAACGGCTCTGCTGGGCAACTGGCACATGGCAACTGCCATTGGGGAGTGGCCATCACCAACGGCACCCAACCCAACTCGGTATCGAGTACATGCAGAACTGCGTGTCACTTGCGTGTGCTGAGCTCTGCATGCGAGGTAGATGTAACCAAGCACCACCTGGCACCTACCTAATACCTTTCCTTACCTTACCTCAAGCACCAAGAGATTTGGAAAAAAAAAAAAAAAAAAAAAGAGTCGCCCGCCACTAAACCCAACCCCACAAGAAGCTTGTCCAAACGGCCCAGTCCCGTCTCCCGTTGACTACTGGCAGTCCCCGCGGAGCCAATGGTACGCTTGGGGACCGCAACTTGTTTACCGTGATACCTGCACCGTAGTGGATGAAGGGGATCGTCGGACGACCGCCACTGGACCGTTGTTGAAGTGTTGACCTGGTGTCCTGTCGTCTCCTAGCCACCCTTATTCCTTGTTGTCTTTTTTTCTGGTGGCCAATGACCAATGGTATACCAGGCGCAAGAACTCTCGCGGAGCTTGCCAAGGGGACCAGGTTGAAAGTCGTCTGGGTATCCGTATCATGCATCCGTATGTCTGTACTCCGTACGGAGTCCATACGAATATGGGACCTGGGCTTTCCACTGACTACGCAGTAGAAAATAGAAACAGACTAGGATGATGGCTAGACTTTGGTTTCGCGAGAGAGGGGGGAGCTTGAGCTCTTCAGCCTCCATTTAGAGGGTCTCCATTTCCAGACGGGACCCCCAGAAGGCGATGGCGTCAAGGCGTTTGCAGGGACCCAAATGACCTGTCTCAAAAGCTACAGTGAATGTGATGGGTATCATGTGGAGGGACGAACAGAAGAACGGATGTTAAACTCAGGGACGTTGTTGACGGGCAACAGGTATACATTACATCTGAATTGGCTCCCAACTGACAGGAGCGTCAAAGCCTAAAATCCTACAGTAAGGTAGGTATTAGCCCAAAGGCACCTGCCGTCACCTCATGTCTCGTCCGTCCGACGTCCCGGCTCGGATACAGACGAAAATCGCCATATCGGGGCGTTTGCAACCAACGGTGACCCCTTCCTTCTCTTTCGCTGCAACCCAGCGGGCCGGTTCGAGAAGGTTCGGTGGGGCCCCGTCCCGGGACCCTGCACAGTCAGCGAATCAGCCTTGACGGTTGGCCGCTGTCATGGAACCCTTGGAGGCTGCTTGGGGTGGTCCGCCGAACCGCCCGAAGAAAAGCGTTACCGTCTCTGATGACACCCGACCACTTCCTGCACCGTGGGAGCGTGGGAGAGGGCCTCACCTCATGCCTCAGGTCAGACTTCTCTCCGTTCTGTATGTACATTGCGGATAGACAGTGTCAGGTCTGATGAAAAGTCCCTAGTTTTTGGAGCACGCAGCGACCAGACCATCCAAGGACCCATGTCCTAGTCGCCACTACCGCCCGCCCCTTGGAAATATGTGTGCTGCACTGCGGGTGCGAGTGCAGGCTGCAGAAGGGGGCCTGGCACTGGCTGATTTGCAGCAGTCCCATCCCCAACCTCCTGCAAACCGAGCTGATGGCATCACCATGGCCCATCCCATGCCGCCCTCTTTGCCGGTTCACAATTTCCGCCTTCTTGACAGATCTCGTTGCTCTCTCAAAGTCAAGGGCTACAGAAGTATAGCGGAGCGAGCGGGTCGTCAACGTCTCTCACGCATGCAGGTCGAAGCCAAAGTCATACATCGTGCATGCACTGCCCGTTCAAAGGGGGTGCCTGTCTCCCAGCCTTTCACATTACCCAGAATCCCATATCGCGTCTCGATTTGCGAGCTTGGATGATGTCCTCGAGCTTTGGGGAGCTGCGCCCACCCGATCTCGGTCACACATCTTCTTCCCTCACTCTTCATGTTGTCGGTGGTCACATCAAGTGCCTGCGGCTGCACGTTGTCACCCTGGACTCGGCGCTAAACGGAAACCAAACTGCCATGCTGTGAAACCCAGCCGAAATTATACCTGTTATTACCGTGCTCCTATGTGCTTGATGCAAATAAAGTACAGTCATGTCCAAATGCGTTCATCAATCCTCGTTTCCATGTATTTGTGCTTTCATCCCGGAGAGGTTTGTCCCCACGTGCCTCTCGCTCATGTCGTCACCAACAATTACCTTGATTCCCCCATGCGCCGCGTACCTTGCCTGAATTAAGCTCAATCCTCAGATCCCTCCGCCGATGCAGCTTCGGATGTCGTATTGCTCCCCATGATGGAGTTGACAAAGTCCTGGTATCTAAACACCTCACGGCGATTTCCTAAACCGCCTTGCATGTTGCGGTTGAAAGCTCGTCTGCCGGTGAATCCCTCTATGACCTTTTCAACCTCGGTCTCTGTAAGCGGTCGCTCGCCGGGCTCTGGCGCGGTGTGCAGAAGCGCATCCCGCAGCTCCGCGAGGTCGATCTGTCCGCTGTCATCGTCGTCGAACGCTGAGAAAGCAGATAGCAACTCGGATTGTGGTGATAGAGAGGCGAGCATCGTAGCAAGGGAATTCAGGAACGCAGCCATTGTCATCGTTTGAGGTGTTGATGGCGGGAAGAAGTTTGACACGTCGGAGGGTTTGGACGGCAGGCCTGGAAAATTTGTTAAACGAGAGAACTCGATTGATATGTTGAGGTTTCCAATCTTACCCAACTGATTCAGCATGTCGGCTACATCTTCCCTATTGATGACGCCATCGCTGTCGCGATCCAGGACCTCGAAACCCTCTCGAAGCTGTCTGACTTGCGCAGGTTGTAAATGCGATATGGCGTTCCCATGGCTCATTGTCTTCTTCAAACCGGGCCGCAGAGGCTGTGGCGAGGCCATGGTGGTGGTTTCGGCTGTGGGTGTTCGTACTCGCGGCGTCTTGCTCTCGGCCGTGTCTGTTGGGGTGGTTGGGTTGCCGAAGCGCCCGTTGTTCGTAGCGTAGGATGCCTTCGTGGGTGACCCGAAAGGCGTCACTTGTGTCACTTGGGTCGTTGAGGTCTGTCGGACTGCTGATGGCGATGCTGGAGATTCTGGTCGTCTGAATGGAGAACTGCGAGGAGAGCCATGAGGCCCTAGTGGAGAAGGTTTGTAGCCAGCGGGCATTGCCTGTTGTGGGTTCTTCAGGTCAAAATTCATGCGACTTTCCAAGAGATGTAATGATCCGCGCGCGAAATGGGCCCTAGCCTACCATATCGAAAAGGTGTTCGGGGCGGGAGCAGCTGTGGGTGGGAAATAGGGAGTGCCTTGCTCTGGATCTTTGATGCCGCGCGCCCACTTGGCAGCAAAGTAAACAATGAGAAATATGGGGATTGGGCCGAGAGACGACGGTAAGCGTACGAGAGACGAGTAGAGGACGGCAATGTAAAGAAGAAAAGCAACTGCTAAAATTGCGTATCGCGTTTCTGGTATCAGTATCGAATAGAATGTATGGTTGAATGGTTCTGCATTGGTTTTAAAATGGCGTTGCAGTTCAACTGTGGAAAGGTCCGATCCAGAGCAGAGACAATGGGTGGCTTTGGGTGACAGATGAATGTAAACAGAGGCGTCTTCTCCGTGACAACCGTAGCCTTGCATGACCCTCCCGTCCGTGCATGGCAATCCCGGGGGGAAGGGGGGGAGAGCCTCATCCCTCAGGGAGGGAGTGAGGTGTGGCTGTCAATATGTGGCTTGACCACAATTCCCTGTGTCAGCTGCCAAATTGACTCTCTCCAGCCACATGGGTTTCATGTAAGGTCCCTTGGGGCGCTAAGCAAAAATTAGGTTGAGAGCGACAGCTCGGACCACCAATCTCTCAAAAGGGGAAAGCACAAAGGACATGGGAAGGCGGGGGGGAGGAACGTGGAAAGGGGAAGAGGCAGGAGGGGACCAAGGGGGTCCTTGGGGGCAGCCGAGAAAAGAAGGCCCTGCCTTTCCAGTTCCATAGTAAGGGAAGGTATTCGTCGGTGGGTGGTCACTGATGCCAGGTGGTGGGCAAGCCGCAAAAGGAGGGGGACTTGAGAGGGATTTTAGGAGGGAAAAGAGGACACTGAGAATCCGTGATCAGCATTGTTCCCGACGCATTCGTCCAAGGCTTTCTCGCTTTCTCTCGCAGACACTGCCCAGTTGGCTCACGGATACGGATCCCAGCTTGAGCCCACACTCGCTGTCAACTACCTGCCTGCCTACGACACACTAACAGCAACGTAGGGCCGCCTCGTGTCTGTTCTTCCCTCTTTGTCTGTCCCCGGGCTGAGTGTCTGACTTGACTGACAGATTGCCCGTCTGTGTGTCGGTCGATTGCCCACCAGCTGGCACTGGCTTGTCTGGCTCCTCCGAGGTACGCGCGCTGAAGAGTTCTGAATCTGAATCTATCCGTAACCACGACCTGCTCTACTCGTCACCTTTGACTAGCCCCGAGCGACACGCGGAGGGCCGCCAGTGTCCGGCGACCACCAACCAGAGGTCCTTGTCGCGGCAATCCATCCAGGGGCACACTGCAAGACCTCCCCCCTCCATCTCAATCCGACGCCCTGTTTGGTTCGCACCAAGAGGTGCGTACCTTGCTTCGGCGCGCCTTAGCTGAGCATTATTCGAGCCGGTGGGGGATCGAATTGGATTGCACAATTTTAAAAAAGAGGAAAAAGAAGCACCGCACTATCAACTATCCCCTGTCAGGAGTCCTGCCTGGTTTGGGACTCCTAGAAACCTTTCTGTACGCACTACTCCGTACGGAAACCTGCCTTTAAGAAGTCAATGATACCAAGAACGCCTGCGGGCAACCCAATAAGAACCGACGAGACCAGAAGACCAGACCAAACGTCGAAGCAGATCATGTCTCGGTGATTTTCTCTTCCACGCATTGACGCTTTCTGCATCGGTCCCCCGACAGGATATACCTGCTCTCTCTCCCCCTCGTGTGCCGGAGGGGCCATCCTGTTTCCGCTGGTTGGCAAAGACTGGTAAATGTCAGTCACTCGCCTGCATCTGACGTTTCGAAGAGCGCATTCGGCTATCGTCTGAGAACGCCTCCACGCGCTACCCTGGACTTGAATACGGTTACCTACCGCGCATACCTACACCACCTTACCAATACCGCTCCTGGACTACCTTGCACCTAAGGATACAACTACGTACTATACCGCCTCGCCAACTCCGTCCTCCCGTTCCCTCGTACTCCGTGCTTCGTACCCATCTACCCTTCCGTCGCCGCCCTTCCCCCCCCTCCATCTCGCATCTTGCATCCTGGCCCATCGACTCGCACTCGGCTTCAAGGACGCCCGACCTCCAATCACCTATTGTACGATTTCAGCGACAACGACCTGGCAAATAATCACTTGATTGCCCTTGTTAATGTCGCAGCATCACCGTCGAATGTCGTTGGCTGCGAGCCGTTAATCTTTCTGGGAAATTGTCAGCAAAGGGCTCCCACCATCGTCGCATTTCTCGATCGGAGACAAACCTACTTTTGCTGCACCTCCACGAACGGACCTCTCGACTGCATTTGGATGGCTGTGGCTACCGGCAGCCTGCGCAACACCTTGAACCCCCCAGCTACCGACTTGTTGAACAACTCCGCAATTTAACATTGCTTTCACAAGCATGGCTTCGACCCAAGCTGCGCTGCCGTTCCTCACGCGCAACTATTCAAACACGCAGACCCAGTACCCTCCACCGCCCAACGGCCCTTGGCCTAGTCGTCGCACTTCACTCTCCAGTTTCCCAGCTTCGCGATCGCCTTCGTCAATGTCCAACACATCTCGCCCGTCGCGATCTCCCCAGCCGCCTCCCATTGCCGAGACGGACCGCTCCTCGAACCCGAGCTCAAAGTCAAAGACACCGTCCACTGGTGTCTCGTCACAACACTCGTCGCTGTCTGCCCCGAGGCGATACAATCCGGATGCGCATCCTCCCCGCAAGTTGCGCTCGCAATACCCGCGAGGTTCCACCGAGAACCATGTCGAGTACATCTTGGTGGCCTCGTTCGATATAGATCGGGGCCCGGTCATGGAGCACCAATACCCTGTTTCCATTACCGGCGACGAGCATATGCTCGCAGAACTCATGTTGCCCGATCAGGCCCATGTTCGGAATCAGGACTGGACTATTTTCTTCTTACACAAGGACACAAGCCAAGAGGAAGAGGACGAGGAACGTAAGGCGAAAGAGGCCAGGAAGAGGAGAAGAAGGCGTTTGCGCAATCGCGCTGCTGGCATCGTCGACGAGGAAGATGACGGCGCGGACTTGGACGAAGATGAGGGGGACCTTGATGACTTGGACGAATACGACGACGAGGATTCCGACGACGGCGAACCCGAAGGCGGAGAAGGCCCGCCGTTGATCTATGTTCTGAACCTGGTCAACACAAAGCAGGACAAAACGGTCAAGAGAGGTGCTGTTGTCAAGGCGATGGCAATCTGCACGAGGCATCCCTTCCTGCATATATACAAGGTGAGAACTTGCTAGCCTTCTGCTCCCCTCGCTTGATCAGCCGGCTTACTTTTATCAGCCCCTTTTGTTGCTTGCCTTGGACGAGTACTTTAAGGCGCCCGTTCCCGAGACGCTGGCGATGCTCTACGATGCCGTCAACGCAATGGACCTGTCTCTCATGCCGAAGCTTAGCCTACTTGAGAGGCACCTGCTTTTGGCTAGTGACAACAAAGATCTGTTCGTGGAAAAGTTTGAGCAAATGATTCAAATGCGGATAGCCGAGGACCGCGGCGAACACCTCTCAGATCAGCCTTTCGATGCAAGTCGAGACCCTCCAAAACTGCCGGGTGTTTCTAGAGCAGGAACAAAAGCGCACGTCGAAGGTGCTTCGCAGTATTCGGTTCCAAGGGACACACACGAGTTTGAAAGCAGAGTCATGTACAAGGGCATACCAATTCCCATCAAAGTTCCCGTCGCTGTCATGCCGGAAACGGTGGGCGACTTTTCTTTGATCAAACTGATCCAGAAGTTTTCGGAGCCACAAGGCAAGGCGCCACAACCGTTCCCCCTGCATCCTCAATTGACGACAAACGGCCCGCATACGCACCCCATCATTGTATTGGTCAATGCGTTGTTGACGCAAAAGCGGGTGATCTTCCTGGGGCACAATATGCCATCAGGCGAGGTTGCGGAGGCAGTCTTGGCGGCCTGCGCCTTGGCATCCGGCGGTACGCTCAGGGGCTTCACGCGTCACGCGTTTCCTTATACCGACTTGACCAAGATTGATGATCTCCTCAATGTTCCCGGCTTCATTGCTGGAGTCACCAATCCGACATTCGAACTGCACCCCGAGTGGTGGGATGTATTGTGCGACTTGCCTACAGGCCGAGTCAAGATCAGTAGCAAGATCGATTCGGCTCCAGTAACGGAGGGGATGGTCTACTTTCAACAGCAAAACCCGTCATACGCTGGGCTTGTCGGAGGCACCTCCAAGGTCGCGGCCGAAAGTGATTTGACAGGCGACGCGGCTTTCATGCAAGATATCCTACGAAGTATCGCGGCAAGGCACGGTGAGAGAGTAATACGCGCCAAATGGCGAGACTGGGTTATCAAATTCACGCGAATCGCAGCTGCGTTTGAGGAAAGTGTGTACGGCGCAAGTGCTCTTTACATTGGCGGCGACGAACTAGAGATGGGTCCGGTGGGCGTGAACGGGCACGGCTACGTGTGGCCTGATGAACAATCGAAACACAAGGAGCTTGCGGGTAATGTGACGAGGATCGAAGGGTGGAGGAACACAAGGAGCTACTACAGCTTCATCCAGGTAAGGGAGCCACGGAATCTGTCATTGTTCCCAAGGATTTAAACTAATCGTCGTAGGATCTCGCACTGCTTTACACAGTGAGGCCGTTGAAGGGCCTCGACTTACACCACATGCACGACCGACTACGGACACAACGGCTCAACCCGATGCAAAGCAAGGAAATCTACGCAGCGTTTCACAAGTATGTCCACTCTTACGACGAGATCTGTTTGCTGTTGAGCGTTGCGCCAGAGTCGCATGCTGGCCTGTTCTACGTCGCACTTGGCCTCTTCCACAAGGACCGCGAAGTGCGCCTCAAGACGGCCGACCTGCTGGAACGCATTGGCGAGCACGAGGCGGGGCAGCACTGGTGGAAGGCTCTCAGCCGGTTCGAGAAACTGGCCTACAACCGCATTCGCAAGGAGATGGACGCCGAGATGCGGGCGAAGCTCGAAAAGGAGGGCTTGAGTCCCGAGGTGGAGAAACGGGTCAGCTAGGCGCTTTTCCTGACTTCTTCGGTTGCATCTAACTAGATATACTCCCATCACGGCCGGCGCTCTCTCTCTCTCATATTACCCGGCACCGGCGTTTCTGCTATATCACGCTCATGTCATGCGCAAAATACTCCATGCGGCAGGAGAATAGGTGCTTTTGGGGGGGTTTTGTTTTTTTCTCTTCACGAAGGTCATGATTGGAACGGGGTGGATGAAACGTCGATTATTATTCTCAAATTTCAAGAATCTCAGCAGCAACCTACTACTACCCTACTTAAAAAAGAAGAACTACATGTCGACTGCGCGCACGCAACGTCTCTTTGTCCTCTCGACATCTTTGGTATTCCGACCCGGCTTGACCTTTGGTTCCTTTCCCTCCCTCACTGCGTGCTGCCTGATCATTGACGTCAACGTTATCGTTTACTTTGTTTACAGTCTTGTCCGACCTTCGAGTCACGCGGAGCCGAGACCCAGGTGCTTGGCAGCGTGGTCTACGTGGTCCTTGGCGAAGGAGGCCATGAAGAAGTAGGAGTGGTCGTATCCCTACACACTCTGGTCAGCGTCTAAAAGTTTGAATATGACGATGAATTGGGCTCAACTTACGTAGTGGTATCTCAGGCTCAGACCCTGGAGGTTCTTCTCCTTGACGACCTTTTCAAAGTTCTCGGGCAGCAGTTGCTTCTGGATGTAGAAGTTGTCACCGAGGCCCTGGTGTCTCTTGTATTAGTGCCAGCTCCCATATGCGTCATTGTGATCATATGAGCTCAAGAAACTTACGACATCAATGAGGGCGTTCAGGGGACCGTAGCTCCAGTTCTTGACGAGCTCGGTGGAGTCGTGCTTGGCCCACTCGGCGCGGTCGTCGCCGAGGTATCCCGTGAAGGCCTTCTCGCCCCAGGGGCACTTTGACGGGTTGGCGATGGGGGCGAAGGCGCTGACGGAGCGGTACATGCCCGGGTGGCGGAGGTAGAGCGACAGCGCGCCGTGGCCGCCCATGGAGTGGCCCGTGATGGAGATGCGGGAGCGGTCGAGCTTGCCTGCGAACTCGCGGAAGAGCAGCTCGGGGAGCTCCTTTGTGATGTAGGTCTCCATTTTGTAGTTTTGGCGGAAGGGCTCGCGGGTGGCGTCGACGTAGAAGGAGGCCGCCTCGCCAAAGTCCCAGGAATCGCGCTCGCCGGCGAGGTCGAGGCCGCGCGGGGAGGTGTCTGGGTAGACGACGGCGAGGCCGCGGGCGGAGGCCTGGGATTGGAAGAAGCCCTTTTCGGTGCAGTTGTCCGGGGTGCAGGTCAGGCCCGAGAGATAGAAGAGGACGGGGACGGCGCGGGTGGTTGCCTGCGGGGGCAGGTAGAGGTTCACGGCCATGTCGGTGCCGGTGGAGTTTGACTTGTGGGAGAGCTTGAGGAGCTGGCCCCCAAAGGAGGTGATGGTCGCCTTGGTTTGGAAGGTTGCGGTGGCCATTGTTGCTATTTTGCTGTTTTGGGTATCAACTATGTGTCAATTGGGTGTTGAAAGGGGGGTATATAATGCTGTTCGTTATCAAGCAAGACAAGAGATGTTGAAGGGAGTGGGGGAAGAAGAAGAGCTTGAAATTATTCTACGCCTGGAAGAAAGGAAAAAAGAGAGGGCCTGGGGGGTATCAAGAGGGAGGGCGGCATCTGAGGAGGTCTAATAAATAAAAACACCGAGTTAAGTCCACTCGAGTTCAGATCGGAGAAGTGGAGGAGGAGGAGCACAGAGAGAGAGCTTGGCTTGGCTTGGATTCATCTCTACCCCCCTCCGTCTCGTCCTGCCATTGACCGTTTGTCCCTCCTTCATCATGATGCCAATTGTACCCCACCATGGACCGCCGAACGCCCAGCAGGGATGCAGGAGCGAACCCCTCCAAGGTCTCACCTAGCAAGGTGTGCCGTGTACAAGTGCTGCTAGGCGTATAACATACCAAAGGTGGTAAAGCTACCCGGCAGAGGAAAATACTTACGTACGGCTAGGTATAGCTACAGCTACTCCGTACGAATACCTAAGCTATCTATCGCCCGGCGATCCAGTTTGCGTTTGTAATGCATTGTGTGGGTGCGAGGTCTTTTCACTTCATGCTCTCAGCTGCGACGAACCCCGCATTGGAGGGGCAAGCCCAGGAGACACTTTCCCGGGAAGGTACCCGCTGTTGCTTATAATTCGGTACCAATGTTCGGTAGCTGTCCCGAAAGCTGAGTGGTCCCCCAGAATGACAGCTCCCTTCAGAGTTCTCGGCATATTATTTTAATTCTTCTCACATCAACTACCAGATTCCGACTACCAAGACGCTTTCCCTCGTATCATGCCATGCTATTCCAAGAATACAACAGCCTCATCCTGCTCCGTCACAGTAATCTCTCTCGCTCTTGTCTCTGCTGTTCTACAGTATGTATTTCTTCAGGGAACGCTCAGTGCGCGGAAAGTCAAAGTCCCGACTCAAGGCATTGAAACTTTTCCATCGTGGTTTGGTGTATATTGACCGTATATCCTCTTTGGGACCAACGAGCATGCCCGGTTCCCCAGCATTGGTCAACATGCGAACTCGATGTGAACTCGATTTCGAAGGATCGGCTGGTCCTTGCTGAGAAGGCTTCAGTCGGACACGGCGGGTTGGCGGCACACACCAAAGTTTACTACATGAGCAGCAGGCTTTGATGGACGGCGAGCTTGCTCCCTACCGGGTGCTCTTCGCTCTACAGCTGGCGAGAAATACACGACTACTGACCAAAGCTTGTGGACGGCCAATCGCAATTGTTCTTCTTCATCTTCCCCAGCTGTCAGCAAATCTAACCCCCGGACGACTCGCTAGAAGCATGCGGTCAATTTGCTTGCATACCAAAAGTTGGACTCTACTTCTTCAGCCATTGGGAGCGAGAAGCTACCACAAGCATATGCCAGATTCGCTGCCACCGAGCGCAAACCTGCATGCGAGAGGTTCATGCTGTCCTGTCACAGGGACGACAGTTGGGATGGACTCGCAGAGGGCCCGAGAGCCGATTGAGAGTCTGTTCCACGCTTTCTCGAACGACGCCACGCAAGGGAAAGCGAGGAAGGCACCCGCCACACAAGGACTCAAAAGACCAGTCCATGATTCATACCGTTTTGTGGTTTCGGGTTCGGATGACTATATTGGAGGCTTGAGGGTTTGAAGATCGAGCCGCGCCATCGTCAGCAAGGCGACAAGAGACGAGAGCCTCGAGGTTTTCTCTGGATTGCGGGCTCTTGGGGAACAAGATGCCAAGACGGTTCTGAGTATGCGCTGGTCCACTCGGTTTTGCACCCGCTAATCGCGAATATGGATCATAATTTGGCGCCTGGTTGAGCTTTAAAAGGCAGTCCCAGCATTCACGCCAACAGCTCTATGGATCATGACACAACATGCTAACTCGCGCAACGGACTGCCCAACTGAACGAATTAGCCAACTCGCCTGCGTATGATTTGGTCCGGCATAGAGACGGGTGCAGACTTCGGGTCTGCCATACCTGACCGCCGCCAAAAGGCTGCGAAAGACTCGAGCTCGAGGGAGCATAGAAGCATGAAGCATGAAGCCGCCCTCAGGAGACTGACTCCACTCCTGCACCCGACACGTCCGCATCTGGTCCGTGGTTCGTCGCGATCGCCCCCTCCAAGGCGGACGAACCGGAAGAGATCGCTCGGGTGACGGGCCGCAAGGTGGCACCTCCGTGTGTTTGGGTCCATGATGGCACGAACGTCATGCAAAACCTCTGGACGGGCCGGCTTGCCCGGGCAGTTAGGAGAACCAGGTTATCCCCTGGGTGGGAGTTGAGAAGGCTACACCCGCAACGACGGCGAACGGGATCGCTCGTACGCTTGGGCGACTAGAATACACCTGTACTCGAGCCCGGAGTAGTTCTCCGGACTCGTGGTATTGCTCGTTCGTTGGCCTTGTTGTCGATATTCTTGACGATCGAAGAAATGCATGTTTGACTCGTTTCCCATCTCTTGCTCGAGTTCAGATTCAGTTTACAAGCCACCTGCTCATCCCATATTTCTCACACAGGTTCGCGACGGAGCCATGCTAGGTAGATACGCTGAGGGAAATGTCGTCGGCTCATCGACCTTCTCACCATGTCAGAACGAAGCTGGGTTCCCTATGAGCAGACGACTGGAATCATGCTTCTGTACGTAATGGATGTGCAACTTTTCATAGACCTGAAGCTCGGCCAAGGTAAAGAACCTCCGGCCAAGAACTAAAGTAAAAAAAAAAAAGACAATCTCATCCCAACGCCCGGTAGGTATTGTACAAAAATAAAGCAAAACACAAACGCCAAGACCAGTCCATATGCCCCCCCTCCATGCAACCGCCATTGGTCCAGCCTATTCCATTCCGTAAGCCATCCTTGTTTACGCCAGTCGTAATTCTCTCCTCTGGGCCAGCACTACTGAAGATGCAATGCGATCGACAGCAACGTGTCCAGTTCGCCAAACATCCGCATTCTTCGTCATATTATACAAATCCAACAAGACTGGTGTAAGTGGCAGTGTGCCTTTTGATCAACCAAGTTGTCGGGCGTTTCCTGTTCGTACCCTTAGTTGCGAGCCTTTGGCTTTGCCAGCATGTTGAGTCGACTCAGACTCATACCGCCACGCTTCTTCGTGGGACTCGGCGACTGAGCAACGCGAGGGCTCTGAAGCTTCTTGCCGATAGTGCCCGGGGTAGCACCCATCAGTCTGGGGGCCAGGAGAGCATCGCCCTCGGGCACATGCTCGGCCTTGCGCCTCTTGCCGGCCCTGTCACCAGAATCCACCTCAAGGTCTCCTTCCTCTTCACGAGCTCGAGCCCGCTTCTTGTTGGTCATTCCATGGGGCTTTCCGGCCAGGAACTGCATGGGAGACCTGTTCTCCTTGTTGGAGGTGAACTCGGGGCCAGTGGGGAAGCTGCCCGGCATGTCAAGCGAGGCCCGCACATGACGGACACTGGCCTGTCCAGCAGTCGAGCCGAAACCAGTCGGAGAGGCGCTACCGA